GCTACTCAGTACTCGAAAGAAACGAGTTGTCTTGTTGTTCTCAAGCGGTAGCTTTGTAATAGCCTCGAAATCATTTTTGTGGTGCCTGGGTATTCTCACAGATACCAGGAATAACTTTTAGAAACCATCTAAGGGCTGTAAATGAGCAGGCGGCTAAATTCACAGTTGCCCTATTACGACTCATGGCAAATACTTCGGGCATACGACCCATCAAGCAAGAAGTACGAATCGGCTAATCGCGTAATCAGTGCTTTCCACACTGTTTCGGATGATACTGCATATGTTATAGCAGTTATACCGCCGTTTGTTCTGCTGGCCTACGAACTTCGAGAGATTTGACACAAAAGATTGCACGCAGCACTACCATGCTTACATGGCAACGACGGTGGAATGACTCGATGAAAGGGAGGTGGACACATACCCTGATCCCAAATCTTGATGTGTGGGTACACAGGACCCATGGTGAGGTGGATTTCCATCTCACTCAAATCCTAACCGGACATGGAGTCCTTAAACAGTATCTACATTGCTTCAAGCACAAAGAGAATCCGTTTTGTCCCAGCTGTGAAGGGGTCGTTAAAGATGCAAACCATGTTCGCTTCTCTTGTCCACATTTCGACGAAGCCAGAGCAGAGATGAGTCAGGCTATTGGCGAACTCATTTGCTCGGGAAATTTAATTTTGAAGATGGCAAGCTCGCCGGATACATAGCGAATAATGTCGACCGCTGCTACGAGGATCATGAGTCAATTTAATGTCACTGAAAGACTTCGTGTCAGCGAACGCGCCTCAAGAAAGGTCTTCTCTCCAGAAATTGGACAGTGATGAACTCGGACGACATAACTAATTATTTCAGCTGATGCTCAGGATGCCTTTTGACGTAATGCTTCACGGTAGTTATTATCATATATTTATAATATAGTGTTTAATTATTATTATATACTAGATATAAATAATGCCAGAAAGATACTTTAGTCGATTGCTTATCAGTGTTAAGAATAATTAAATCTTTTTTGTGCATTGCAGTTAAATTTTAACCCTAAAAACATGCAACTAAAATAATTTTATGGTTAATGTATCTAGTCCTAATTTTATGCTAAATTGTTAATATCAAATTGCTAATATTTTTGAGAAGCAGAAGAGGAGGAGGAGAAGAAGAAAATATTTTTTTTTATATAATAAGGTCGACGAGGTAAAGCAGAATCTCTGCTTAATTAATATTGTTTGCTATTTGTTGTATTTTATATAAATATATACAGTGTTGTGCATAACAAAAGCAACCAAAATTTGCCCATCAAATAAATAAGTTTTTTGTCTACTTTTTACTTTTCATTCAAAAATCTAAATACACAGTTTTATTTGTTATTGTATTAGCTATTATAAAAAAATAACAAAATCTACAATTCTTCATAACGGGTTAATTAATTCACACAAATAATAAAATATTGCGAAATGCGGCTGTGCAAAACAATAGCAACTGAGACAAGATCAATGATAGATCTATGACCAAAGTGCATTCTAGCAAGATATTTTTTTGATTTTTTGCATTTTTATGCTGTGATTTATGTTTTTAAGCGAATTAGAACATAAACACAGAATAGTTCAATATTAAATCAGGTAATGGAAGTACGTTTTTATCATGGCTCGTGACACGTATACTTTGAAGTTTAAAGAAGCAAGAATTGAAAAATATTTAAATGGCAGTGCTCAAATGAAATAGCCAAAATATTTAAAATTAATTAGTTTATTGTTTCGCAGCTTATAAAAAAATATAATTTGACAAAATACCGTTAAAACTGTTTATTTGGGTGAAGCCTCTCTTAAGATTACTTGTAGAATTGATCGAAACATCATAAGAATTACAAAAAAACAACCATTCGTGTCGTTGAAAAAGGTCGTAGCCGAGCTTAAACAAGGTGTTGACTCTAGTACTGTACGCAGGCTTACTCTCGAAGCCGGTTTCAAAAGTTACAGACCAGTCAAAAAACCAATGTTGACTAAAAAGCATTAGCAAAAGAGGTAGATTTTTGTTTTTCTTTTTAATTAATATTAATATACTTCAGTTAGATCAAATTTCGCGTGGAATCGCTTAAATTAGACTCTTACTAAATGGAAAATAATTTTTTTCAGCAATAAATCAAAATTTAACATCTTTAATTCTGATGGGATGTGCACAGTGCGTTTGTATTCGCGTAACTGCCAAGCGACTGTGAAGCATGGGCGTGGGTCAGTAATAATTTGAGTGTTCTTTTCAGGATTTAGACTAAGATCTTTTCATGAAATTCATCAAATAATACCCCAACATGTGTACAAAAAAATTTTAGAGAGCCATATGGTACCCCATGGCGGATGAAAAATGTCACTCCGAAGGGTATATCAGTACGATAACAACCGAAAACACACGTTAAAGCTGATAAGAGAATGGATTTTGAAAAATGGAATTCCAATTTTAGATTAGCCAGCCCAAACACCTGATTTTAATTCAATTGAGAACATTTTGGTATTCTCAAACGTCGCTTTGGGGGTCAAAAAGTTTCCAATTGTTTGAGGTCATGAAAGATGAATGGTGTAAAATTCCAAATAGTTTTATTAACAATTTAATATCACCTATGACCCGTAGAAGTGCCCAAGTAATAAAAAGCAAAGGGATTTATACAAAATTTAGAAAAATAATACCAAAATTTAATATAATAAATAAAGTTGCTATTGTTCTGCACAGCCGCATTTCGCAATATATTATTATTTGTGTGAATTAATTAACCCGTTATGAAGAATTGTAGATTTTGTTATTTTTTTATAATAGCTAATACAATAACAAATAAAACTGTGTATTTAGATTTTTGAATGAAAAGTAAAAAGTAGACAAAAAACTTATTTATTTGATGGGCAAATTTTGGTTGCTTTTGTTATGCACAACACTGTATATTTATTATATTTTATATATTTTATATTACCTCGTGATAAAACTTTAAACAAATAACAATTTTATAAACTAAACTAAAGAAGACTTTAGTTTTAGGAAACTTTCTTGTAAGAATTTACACAGATTGTATATAAATCTATTATTTACTAATTATATGAAAAAATTGTTTTAAATTCAATATAATTTATATTATAAAATTTTTTTTTGATTTGAATTCATCTGTTTATATAAGAAATTTTTCTTATACGTGTTGTGTTATATAGTCTTCGTCTTTTATTGATTTGTTAATTTCTTTATTCTGGATGCATTCAAGAACTAGTATATTAGATTGAAGCAAATTAGTAGTTTGTTTTTAAGTAATTAATCACTTATATCTCTTTTAATTGAAAAACAATTTAAATAGAAAAGAAAAAAAAAATAATAGATAAATTTAAAGGTTAAAAAAAAATTTCTATAAATGTTTCATTCAGACAAAATAAATGTAAATTTTTTTAATTAAAAAAAACAGGAAAAATATATTGTAACTGATTTATACAGTTTTTTGGTTCCTTGTAAGAGAAAGTTACAATACAGACCACAGTGTGGCAGGATGAAAATTAGATAATCAAAATTCGATATTTTCTGAACCAGTAGAGATATTAAAATGAAATTTCCTTTAACATAGTTTCAGTTGAGATGGGCGGTCTAATTGAATCGAATTCAATTTCGTAATAGGCAGAACGATTAATTAAAAGTTATGTGCAAATTGCAGGGCGTTCATCCAAACATAATACGTGATAGCTTTGTTGTTTTACAACCGCAATAGGTATTAAAAATAGAGTTTTAATGAGCAATGTTTTGTTCTTTCTAAACCCTTAACATAATAGCCTATGTTAAGTACCATAGGTTTTATGGTAAAATTAATACAAAGTTTTTGGATGTAGTAGCTTGAAGTCAAAAAGTCCATAAAAGTAGGCAGATTTTTTGTACATTTTTATTTATTAAATTTTACTGTTTAATGAATTTGAAAACTTATGTTTATATAATTAATAAGTATATGATAAGGATTAAAAAACATAAAAAATCTTAATTTCTCGAAACTTGACTTCGCAAATATTTCATAAAATTGCAAATAACTTAAAAACTAATGAGCGGATAATTCTATTTTTTACCTTAAACTCGTACTATGACATATATAATTAATATATGTATTCTAATGGAAGTTAAAGTTTTTTTTAAAATAATAAAAAATGTTTTATGAAAATTTTGTATGGGCAATAGGTGTAATGAAACTTTTTGAACTTTAGTGATATAGTCCAAATATTTTGTACTATGAATACTCCGCCTTCAGTGAGCCAATCGGGCTCATCTCAAAAACCACATATTTAAGGAAATTTTCATACTAATATCTTTATTAGTTCAGGAATACAGAATTTTGAGTGTCTCATTCTAAATTTACACTGTGCAGCGGTGTGAATTTTTCTTTTAAATATCAAAATTAAACCAAATCAGGCCTTGGCATTTAGCCCCCATTTTTTCTATATTTTAGTTATAAGATTTTATTTTTGTAATTAATTACAATAATATAAAAAAAATTAAATAAGAAACAAATCAAAATATAATGCGAATGTTTTATATCTATATCTAAAATTATTTTTAATATTGTATTTATAATTCAGTTTTTTCATAAAATTGACTTTCAAGTCGAACTACCTTTGTATGATTTCGAATCATACTGTAAATATATATAGAAATTTTTAAATAAATATATATATATATATAAAGTCATATTTATTATTTTAATACTATGTAATGTTAAAACAAAAAAAAAGGTTTTTAAATGAGTATTCAATAGAAGAGGTTATGTGAGTCACATTGCATACCTATTGCAGGTATAAAATTTTTTTTTTTTTAATTATAAAGTTTGCATAACTGTTCTTGTAAGTACACATTACATAATCCAAGTTTTTAACAATTAATTTCTTTTGTATGAAGAAAAAAAAATTGATTACATTTCAACACTAAAAGCACTATTAATCAGCATTTCTTGCACTTTTCACACTAAGAAGAAGCAAGTGAAAAGCACGTGTTTTACTTACAAGTCGAATTGATGGCAACCATTTCAATGCAAATTTCCAAGAAATCTTTGACAAAAAAGCGGAAATTACTGCACAAAACTCGAATAAATTTTCTTGTTGATTTACTCGAATGATTTGCTATAAAGTTAATATAACTTTAATTATTATTTATGACACTTTTTATTAAGATACAAGCTACAAGATACAGTAGAATTATTCACAGCACCGTTTTTATGTGGTGTAGACCAATAGAACACAACTCTATGACGTCTGCAACACAAACTGAACGACACCGACAACAAATGCCAAACGAAAACTTCAGAACGATGAAAAATTGCTGTAAAATGTAACCAAAAAAAAAAAACATAAAATAAAAAGAAAATAGGAATAATTTTTGCAATGAAAAAAAAAAAAATATATACAAAAACAAAAAACATAAATGAAAGGATATTCGAGAAATTTCATAGCATAGTTTTTGGCATGTGGCTAAATAATTTTTTCTCCATTTTAAATAAGTGTCGTTAGTGTGTGTTGTTTTTGTTTTTCTTTTTGTTTTTGCTTTTGCTTTTGCTTTTGCATGTGACTAATGGAATGTTATTTGCTGTTACTGTTGGCGCTTATAATAGTAATTTCAATTTGTTGGTGTTGTTGTTGTTATTATTGCTATTGCTATTGCAACTATAGCCTTTACTTAACATATTAAAACAAGTTCTTCTCTTTGTTGTTGCTGTTGCTGTTGTTGTTGTTGTTGCAATTGTAAATGCTTTTGAACTATGTTTGCTTAACGTTTCAAAGACGACATAAAGCCAACAACAGCTAATACAACACTAACAACTGGCATGCAAGGACTATAGTTACAACAACAACTTAAAACAGAAACTAACAACAATTTTAGTGGAAAAACAGCAAAAGAAGAAAAACAAAGCAGCAGAAATACGTAAAACGTAAAAAGAGTGAAATTAAATTGCAGCAGCAGAAGAGGCAGCCGCGTAACGTAGCGCTGTTGCCAGGGCAATTAGAATTGTCGGAACTGCGCTGAGACCCATGTATGCACAAAACTACATGGGTCTAAATGGAAAAATAAAGAAAGCACAAAAAAGAAATTATAAATTAAAAAATAAAATTGAAACCAACTGCAAAATAGGCGAAAAATGTATAGAATTTTATATGCTTCTAAAAAATAGTAGCAAAAACAAAAGTAGTAGAAGAAAAGGTAGTAGCGAAAACAGTGCCGCACATTTCCTTGCAAATGAGCGGTATCAAGCGTATCTGGACGTGAACACACATGCATGGAGAACTTGCAATGGAAACGAAAGCACTGCATATTGAAAAGGAAATGGATAGACTTATTAAAACCCAAAAAAGAGGTTGAAATCAAACGTTGACGTCAAGCCCAAATGTTGCCAAAATTTTCAACGTAAAGTAAAATATTAGTTAATGGAGACGATCAAGGAGACGAAGCTTATATTACTTAGAAATTAATTTAACAAAACAAAAAAATGTGAAAAAGCAACACTAGCCAAAAATCTGGTTTTGAAATAATTTCTTCATTTTTTTATGATTTTTTTGAAGTTTAAAAATAGAAGATAGATAAATAAATTCCAATGACAGTTTAACTCAACAAAGACTTCTTCGCAGTTACTGAGATTTAGAGCCAATTTTGCATACGGTATCTCCAGTCGGATCTAAGAAGCCATTATATTCTTTTTATGAGACAATAAGTATCTTTAATTTAATTGATTGGTAGGTCAGCGGATAACTATGCGCCGATCACAATTAGCAACTTTTTGTCATTTTATTATAACAATACTCGTAAGAAATCGTAAGATATAAAAACATAAAACCTAAATTCATTTCGTCAAATTTAGATAATTTAAATTGTCTTTCGTTTGTATAGGCCAGTTCAGGATATTCACGGAGAAAAGACTTAATTGTTTATTTTTCTTCTAAGTTCTCATAACTTCTACAGTGAGTATTAAAAGAAGAGCGCAGTTTCTCGCCGTAGGTTCTTATACACCAGTAACCAGAAAGAACTGCAGTAAGCCTTGCCGTATTCATATTAACCGGGAAGTTACACATGATCAAAGTGTCTCCCATTTAATATTTGCAAGATGAAGAAAGTAAAGGTAAGTAATATTCTTACCGTGCTACAGGGGAATATAAACAGCTACGCCCAGAAATACACGTAGGAAAGCACCAAGGCTGATCGGGTTATCTGCTTTTTTATTTCCTCCAACGTTCCTATGTCCAGGAACTCAGATGAGAGTGATGTCAGCTAGCCGGTTTAGCCTCTGTACATTCTTTAAAAACCGTTGACTTTAGAATGAAGAATTTATAGAGTTTAATTTCCACTTGGCTTACACAGTTTAATATGGTTTAACTTGCCATTTAAACTAAATACGCCAAATAACGAATTGTAGTTAGAAAAATCATTGTAGTGTCATTGATAGTAGTTGTAAGATTTGTCGAACACTATGCCCGGGATAAAATTTGAATCATATATTATCGTTACTAATTAGTACGTATAAAACGAAGATCTCTAAACTGATGACAGTAATCCCTGGTTTTTAACATAGTGGTAAACAGAAGACCAGAATGAGAACCGTTTATAAAATTAACTGTCTTAATTACAATCAGATAGAAAAAGAAACTATCTCCTATTTTGCCTGTTCATGCCCTAATCTTTGGAGGTAGAGAATAGCTATCTTAGATAAGTCACTATTCAATACTGTTGCGGAGCAAGTGGTGTTTAATATTAAACCACTTTAGAGCTTCTTAAATCGTATAAATTTCATCTTAGAGTGCAGTCTTAAAAAGTAACCGAATGATCTGTCAGTTGGTAACGAGAGTGTGGCAGCAAAACGGTGCAAAAGTGTTAATTGGATTCATGAAGAGTCACCACTATAACCATATAACCAACAGACCAACAAAAATTTAATGGATAGATATTCAGAAACTTAAAGATCATATTATATAAGACCCTTGTCAAATAGTTTGTTCTCATGCAAATGCAAAATGGATGTTGTTCGTAAAGTACATATTTGCAGATAATCTTTTCAAAAGATAAGTAATTCAGAAGATATTTGGTATAGTGTAGGGAAATTTTAAATGTGCACTGAAATTCACTGCGAATATACTAAAAGCGATGGCTGGACAATGTGTTAAAGGCTGGATATAAAGTTTCAATAATTTGTGTGCAAAAGTAGAGCAGACTTCTTCACGTGAGCATAAGGCACATCTACGTACCGGGTCAATTATAGCTACTGTTGATGAAATGTTACAATCAAAAAGAAAAAAATATCTTAAGAAATTTAAAATAAAAATATATATCATTAATATCAGTACCCTAAAGATAACTATTGAATGTAGTTGAAAATTTGGTGACAATGAAGTATATTTTTTAATAATAGCTTTGTATTATTTAAACAATTGATCAATTCGCCAGTTCAGAAATATGAAAACATTATATATAAATTATGAAAATAAATAATCATATCATATAATAAATTTGCTTTTATTTAAATTAAAAAAGAGTCTTTATTGTAATTATGGCAATTAACTGACATTATTAAGTCCATTAAAAAGTATTTCATTTGGTTAATAATATATTATAAATACTCATCTGAAATAAATTGCTAGAATTTCTCACAATAACTTAAAGTTTACCTTGACAAAATGGATGTAGGAAGGTACCTATGGCTAACAATGACATCCATTAGTGAGTTATTAGTCAATGCAGAAATGCTGTTTAACATATATGTATCTAGTATCTGATAGAAACAGTTGCAACTACATGTCACCATATATAATAATAAATAATTATATGTGCATTTCATATAATTACCTTACTGGCACAAATATGTGTTTCGCTTGGTCTTAGGGGACCGATTGTGTGACACATGGCGCTTTTCGTGTGTAAAATATGCAACTGAAAAAAGGCACTTAGAAGAATGGGAAATGAGTACACACTACGAAAAATCAATTTGTATTCATATTATATATAAAATATTTAAAGCAAGTAATTTATAAATTATAGTACTTAATATATAGACTAATTTAAATTATAAAACTTGAAAATGTATCAATGTATCAACTATCTTCATTGAAATGAGGATATTGGCCGAACCTCAGCAGGACACACTTCACTAATATATAAATAAAGAAGTTATAAGTGACTCAGGAATACACTTGCTACGTACTAAACCCTTATACTGTAGAATATATTCAGTTCAAAGAATTTAGTGCTAAATAATGATATAATTGTATATGTATTTGGCTATTTGCGTCATCGCTTCTAATTTGACAGGCACGAGTTCTAAGCCTGGCACTTGCAATCCAAACAAATTATATATTTAGAAATTTTAAATATTTCCTAAGACCACTGATGATGAGTACGTGGCAATACTCGTTGGTCAGCCAAATTACAATAAATTAACTAAATTTTTGTTCTTGTCTTTTCTTTGCTATTCGAATCTGTCTAATTTTTAAATAGTTTCTTTTTGACGTATCAATCTCGAAAAGAAAATATTAACATTAGATATGTTTTTTCGTTTTTCGCTTTTAATCTTAGATATGTATATTCACTTGAGCAGAAAATGATGTATATTATAATTGTATTTATATTGATTCATCAATTAAAAAATAATATATAATTAGATTATGGAATAATGGATTGATACTTGGACAAAAATATTAGAATTTCTGCTCTTTCTTGCAGTATAAGTCAATAAAGAAGAAGAAACTGAGTATGGGCACTCAGTACATACAATAAACAAAGGACTCATTTGGAACGCTTTAAAGGAGATTCGACGAAAGGACCACGTGTCTGACAATATGAAGGCACTTGATGGTACCAACAGACCACACCAAGCCAGTTGATGTTGGGCTGGTTGATTGATAACTAAATACGTAAGTAAGTTAATAACTAAGTAAGTAAGTAAATAAGAGTGAGTAAATAAAAAAGTAGGAAAGTGAGTAAATAAGTAAGTAAAAAAGTAAGTAAGTAAGAAAGTAAATAAGTAAGTAAGTAACTCAGTAAATAAGTAAGTAAGGAAACTAGTGAGTAAGTATGTAAGTAAATAATTAGGTAAGTAAGTAGATAAGTAAGTAAATAAGTGGATAATAAGTGGGTAAGGTAATAAA